AAATAATTTTTTTTCGATAAACACATCAGGTATATATTGTCTTAATGTAAATATCATTGGCAAATAAAAAATTCACCCCACAAATAGGGCGGCCTGCTGGTAAGTGGTAACCTAAGCACAAACCATTGTATTGCATCTAAGTGAAATCCTGTGATGCGATAAATAAGATTCTAATAAATTTCCCTAAGATATAATTATGTATTATTATTATTATTATTATTATTTTGGAAAAATCTTAAAACAACCTATTTGAGAAGGGGCAAATTTGGAATAAATTACCTTAAGTTGATTTCTACCGAATACACTTTAATCGTGCTAAATTTCCTGTCATGCTTGTGCAAGCAGCAGCATAACTTGTAGCAATTGAAGAGGCCAAAATAATACTCCCTAGTCCCTACTGTCTCATATTATTTGTCACATTTTTCTTTTATAGTTCACTTTTTAAAAATTCATAAATAAAAAATAATATACTTTACTAATTTACCCTTTTATCTCTTTTCTAAATATATACTTACTGTAAAATGATAAGCATTCTCATATAAATATTTTTAATAAGCTTGACAACTAACATGGGACGGAGAGAGTACTGAATTTTACATGAGAAATACAAGACATTTTGTTTTCTTCCTCAAGTGGACTTAATTATCAGGCAGAATCAGAAGTTTTGTCTGCAAAATATTCGTCTCTAATAGCAAATTTTATTTGATAGACAAGTTTTAATAATTTATACATTTACAATTGCGCATGTCTATATCGTAGACCAAATAATTAAGATCAATTTCCATCAAAACCAAATGATACGGTGTCGTATGCACTAAAAATTTACCCTTTATACTCTAACAAGATAGCATACATATATATTGCTCTCTAAGGAGGTGTGTTTGTCAAAGATCAATGACGTAATCGAAGTTATATTATCCCTTCACAAATGAGTTCTTTTTATAAATTGTTCACAAAATTAATATGTTTGGGGAAAATTGTTGTCAAGAGATATAAATGAATAGTTAAGGTGAAAGAAAAAAAAAAGAATAGTTAAGGTAAAAAAATCACAATGAGTTGATTTATAATTTGTACGAGTAGTTTTTTTTTTTTTTAAATCATAAATTACAGGATACAGAAGTAGTTACTACGTATTGTTAATAAATACTACACCGAAAATGATCTTTAGCAGCAATAACTTAATTGTCGTTAAATATATACTCTCTTTTTTCTTTTTACTTGTCAAATTTTGACTTAGCACACCTATTAAGAAAAACAATGATTGATATAGTGAGTTTATCATTTTACCTCTATTAATTGATACAGTTTCAAATATATTTACTCACTACATTTTTCAAAGACATAACTCAATATTAATAAATTGAGGGTATAATAAGAAGAAAAAAAAATTCTTCCTTGATTTGTCAAAAATGACAAGTAAAAAGGGAAATTAAATTAGGAGATATTACTGAGGAGTATGTAATTTTAGCATTAGCTCTTTGTAAATGTTTCTAAAGTCTATAGCAAAATTGAATTCAATGACAATTAACTTATTTCGATAAATGCTTAACAATTTTAGCATATCTTTATTGTCATTAAAGGAGTGATAATTTTGCAAAGAGATTCTGAATTCTTGATGTGAATAGTTAGTTAAGAATTTGAAAGACTTCAATTTCTAAAAGGGATCTCATTCATCTTTTATAGACCAATTACAATACCATAAAATTCTCTAACTTCCATAAATTCATACCAAATATAAATTGGACCCTTTTCAGGCAAATGGAACAGAATTTCTTTAACATTTTGCTGAGACCAAATTGAGGAAGACATTATATAAAACTGACACATGGCCTTTTACTTGCACTGGTGGGAATTCGAATTATACTGTTACATAGTACTATAAAATATAGGAGTAATTTCATATATATACTCCCTTCGTCTATTCTTATTTGTCATGTTACATTTTTTAAAAGTCAAATTGACTAATTTTTGAAGTTAAATTAAATTACATTAATTAGATATTTTAAACAAAAAAATTAGATATTCAAAAACTAGACAAAAAGTACTATAAATTGTATTTTTTTTTGCATATAAATATGATGAAAAAATACATTATAAAATATTTGTCATAATTCTTATAGTTTGACTCTAAAAAAGGAATTCATTACAATTAAAAATGGACGGAGCGAGTATAAAAGATAGTCACAAATATTATGATAAAAAGACTAAGGCCCGCACCCCTTAAAATTGTTAGTAAATTCCGTTTAGGCATTACATTGATGATCTGAGCATATGATAAAGTGTTAAAAGTGTTTCTATCAAACGTTTTTACTCAAATTTTGGAAAAGTTTTTTGCGTGTGTTCTTAAACCGCGTTGACAAGGGCCGGATCCACCCTTGGTCAAGGGGTGTCAAGCGACACCCCTTTGTCGGAAAAAATTACATTGTATATAGTGGTCAAAATTTGATTTTATAAATATACATACAAGTATTGACACCCCTTGAAACGAGTGGAAGATTTACAATTGCGCATGTCTATATCGTAGACCAAATAATTAAGATCAATTTCCATCAAAACCAAATGATACGGTGTCGTATGCACTAAAAATTTACCCTTTATAGTCTAACAAGATAACATACATATATATTGCTCTCTAAGGAGGTGTGTTTGTCAAAGATCAATGACGTAATTGAAATTATATTATCCCTATTTTGTCCCTTCACAAATGAGTTCTTTTTATAAATTGTTCACAAAATTAATATGTTTGGGGAAAATTGTTGTCAAATGATATAAATGAATAGTTAAGATGAAAAAATCACAATAAGTTGATTTATAATTTGTACGAGTAGTTTTTTTTTTAAATCATAAATTACAGGATACAGAAGTAGTTACTATGTATTGTTAATAAATACTACATCGAAAATGATTTTTAGCATCAATAACTTAATTGTTGCTAAATATATACTCTCATGTTAAATTAGGTCTTAGGCCTAACTCACACCCCAAAAGCTAGCTCAAAGGGAGGAGGATTGCCCAAGCCTTAAGGAGTTCACACATCTCATTAACCACCGATGTGGGACTTTTGTCATTCTTTAACACCCCACCTCACGCCCAGTGCTTAGCATCTGGTGCGTGGGCAATTTTGATTTTTGGGGGTCCCAACATCAGGTGAGACGGGCCCTGCTCTGATACCATGTTAAATTAGATCTTAGGCCTAACTCACACCCCAAAAGCTAGCTCAAAGGGAGGAGGATTGCGCAAGCCTTATAAGGAGTTCACACATCTCATTAACCACCGATGTGAGACTTTTGTCATTCTTTAACATCTACCTTTTTACTTGTCAAAATTTGACTTAGCACACCTATTAAAAAAATAATGATTGATATAGTGAGTTTATCATTTTATCTCTATTAATTGATACAGTTTCAAATATATTTACTCACTACATTTTTCAAAAACATAACTCAATATTAATAAATTGAGGGTATAATAAGAAAAAAAAAATTCTTTCTTGATTTGTCAGAAATGACAAGTAAAAAGGAAATTAAATTAGGAGATATTTGACAAGTAAATAGGGACCGGGGGACTGAGAGAGTATGTATTTTAGAGGCATTTGATAGTTACATTTTAGCACTAGCTCTTTGTAAATGTTTCTAAAGTCTATAGCAGAATTGAATTCAATGACAATTAACATATTCCGATAAATGTTTAACAATTCTGGCATATCTTTATTGTCATTAAAGGAGTGATAATTTTGCAAAGAGATTCTGAATTCTTGATGTGAATAGTTAGTTAAGAATTTGAAAGACTTCAGTTTCTAAAAGGGATCTCATTCATCTTTTACAGACCAATTACAATACCATAAAATTCTCTAACTTCCATATATCCATACCAAATATAAATGACGAGAGGGAGTTGCTCGGATGGTAAGCATCCCTCACTTTCAACCTGAAGGTTGCGAATTCGAGTCCTCAAGGGAGCAAAAGGGGTGGGAGCTCCCAGGAAGGGTATTTGCTGAGACAAAATTGAGGAAGACATTATATAAAACTGACACATGGCCTTTTACTTGCACTGGTGGGAATTCGAAATATACTGTTAGATAGTACTATAAAATATAGGAGTAATTACATATATATATATACTTCCATCGTCTATTCTTATTTGTCATGTTACATTTTTTAAAAGTCAATTTGACTAATTTTTGAAGTTAAATTAAATTACATTAATTAGATATTTTAAACAAAAAAATTAGATATTCAAAAACTATACGAAAAGTACTATAAATTGCATTTTTTTTGCATATAAATATGATGCAAAAATACATTATAAAATATTTGTCATAATTCTTATAGATTGACTCTAAAAAAGGAATTCATTACAATTAAAAATGGATGGAGCGAGTATAAAAGGTAGTCACAAATATTATGATAAAAAGACTAAGGCCCGCACCCCTTAAAATTGTTAGTAAATTCAGTTTAGGCATTACATTGATGATCTGAGCATATGATAAAGTGTTAAAAGTGTTTCTATCAAACGTTTTTACTCAAATTTTGGAAAAGTTTTTTGCGTGTGTTCTTAAACCGCGTTGACAAGGGCCGGATCCACCCTTGGTCAAAGGGGTGTCAAGCGACACCCCTTTGTCGGAAAAAATTACATTGTATATAGTGGTAAAAAATTGATTTTATAAATATACATACAAGTATTGACACCCCTTCAAACGAGTTGAAGATTTAGTTTACTGGTTAAGGGGTTGCAAATATTCTATGAGACTGTGTGTTCAAGCCCTACTAGCCTTATTATATTTTTTTTACCATAACCATTGACATCATTTAATAAAAATTCTGAATCTCACTAAAAAAAAATTCCAAAATTTAAAACAAATTAGAACATAATTTAAATGTCTAAATAAAATTTATCATCAATAAGAAGTTATCCATGTATTCAGCGAAAAAGACTATAAAATTGAACAGTACATAGTCCTATCCTAACTTTATCTATAAATAGAGGCCTTTAACGCATTCAACTCATCCCAACACAAGAAGTAAGCTTATAGTACTAGTTGTTTAATTTAATTGAGAAGACTTTGTTTTGCAATTCTTGACAATGAGTACTGCTCTTATGGCTCTGAACCCCTTTACTATCGTCACATATTTTACACTTTTTTCTATTTTGACTATTTCTTGCTCTTGTTTCCACCCAAAACGTCTCAATAATGTATCAAAAATTCAATCAAATTCCGACTGGTCCCCAGCCGGAGCTACTTGGTATGGAAGCCCTAGTGGTGCAGGAAGTGATGGTACACACCAAAATTTACTTGTTAATTACTGTCTCCGTCTCAAATTATCTATCGTATCGTGTTTCACTAAATATTTAATCTATTAAGTTGTTTGTATGTAGTGCTCCAAAACAATTGCTACTAAAAAAAATAGCTAGTTTTATTTTAAACTTCTAAAAAATGATAAATAATTTATAATAACTATTTTTAAAAATTACTAGAGATGATTTGAAACGGAGCAACCGGAGGGAGTAGCCTCTACTGTACAACAAAGAAAAAGAAAAAAAGATATTGGTGCATTAAATGTCGCAGATCATTTTAGATATTAATTTTAATGATATATGTACTTTTCTTTTTAATTCTATTTATACTATATTTTCTTACCGAGTTTAACTTATGTGAATTATTGGTGTATAATTATTTTACACCAACATAAGGTAATCTACAATGACATGAAACTGTCTGTATATAATAGTCAATAGGTTAAAATATATTAACAACATAAAATTATTATTTTTATATAGTAAGGGTATATAATTTAAATTCTATTTTGTTGTTCAAAGGTGGAGCTTGTGGGTATACTAATGCCGTGGACCAACCACCATTCTCCTCCCTAATAGCCGCTGCTGGCCCTTCTCTATTTAACTCAGGCAAAGGCTGTGGTGCTTGTTATCAGGTGCGATAATTTAATTTATATATACTGACAATTTTTTATTCAATTTTTAAATTTTAAATTGTCTGTTATATGTCGCTAGTGCACAGAACTTTAATATTTTGCATACACTTTTCCTATTCCATTTTCTCCACGTACACCAACGACATATACATTATAAATATTCCACAAGGTCTGGAGAGGATGGAGTGTACGCAGCTTTACTCCTACTTGTAAAGGTGGAGATAATGTTTGTGATAATTAAAGAAGTCATGTTGAAAACAATGAAGAAAAGATTAATACAATCATTAACTGAAACCGAATAATAAGATGGTATGTGAGTAATAATAATAAATAATTATTTTTATTTAAAATCAGGTAAAGTGCACAGGAAATAAAGCATGTTCAGGAAAGCCAGTGAGAGTTGTAATAACAGATTCGTGTCCTGGAGGACCTTGTCTATCAGAATCAGCACATTTTGATTTAAGTGGCACTTCTTTTGGAGCTATGGCTATTTCTGGACAAGCTGATCAATTACGTAACGCTGGAGTTCTTCAAGTCCAATACAAGCGGTAATTACTATCAGTTTGATAATAATCGAGTGACATTATATTATACATCTTTATAAAAATTGATCTTGATATATCAATTCTTAACGTACTATATGTCATGTACCAGAGTGGAGTGCAACTACCCTGGAGTAAAATTGACATTTCACGTAGACTCAGGTTCAAATTCCAACTATTTCGCAGCTCTAGTTGAGTACGAAGACGGGGACGGAGACCTAAACAGAGTTGATTTGAAGCAAGCATTGGATTCAGAATCATGGCAACCCATGCAACAGTCATGGGGTGCTGTGTGGAAGCTCGATACTGGTTCCTCCCTAGTAGCGCCTTTTTCGCTCAAACTTACCGGGGAATCCGGCCAGACTGTGGTGGCTAACGGCGTTATTCCGGCAGGTTGGCAGCCTGGAAAAACTTATCGATCAGTTGTTAATTTTAAAGTCTAAGTTAATAATATTAGACTATATAGTAAATGTTTAAAAATTACGTACAAGTCAATTTGGTTGACTTTGTTATGTTGTCAAAGTCAAAATAATTAAGGTGATCGAGTAGAAGAATAAAGTAGAAAAATGTGGTTGTTGTGTATTTTTAATATATTAATACCACGCCATTTGTTGTGATTTAGTACTACCGTATCTATGAGTAGTACTAAATATCAATTATATGTTTATCCTATTTTTAGTTTATGTATTAAACTTAATTTTATGAAGTTTGATATGGTTGTTCGAGAAATATTTATTTTTATGTTTGGCTATTTAAATCTGAAAAAAATCATAAGATGGGGAAATTAGATGAGTATTAGAGGAAGTTATTTTTCTTTGCAAATACTCCAAGTACGTTTATGCAATCTTACATGATTTAATTTTATGATACTTGGTATGATATTCGAGAAATGTGTTCTCATGTTTGGTACCGTGATATCCGAAATTCCATCGCAGATACTCCCAAGTATGTTTATGCAATCATACATAATTTAACTATCACTTAATTAGACAATTTTTACCTTTAATATTGAAAATATTATCAGAACTTATCTCATATTCTCGTATCATATGTTACACTAGTACATTAAAAATAATCTCCTTGTTTTTTTTCTTGCTTATCGAAAATTAGCTACTATGGTGGAATTTAGGGTGAAAATATCAGACTAATGAACTAACAATAATTATCATTACGTAATTCACATAATGACATGTCTAAACTTTGAATACCGATCCAGATCCTAATAATGTCCATCAGGCCCATTAATAACACAATAGAATGGGTTTATCGTCCAACTGCCCAAGTAGCTAATGGGCCTCTGATAAATCACTTCGAAAGATTTTTTTAATTTTATTTTGAAGTATATAGCCATTTTAAAGAATCAGAAAAATATAATTATAATCTCTAATTTTTATGGTATAAATATAATTTGTAGCAAACCAATTTTTTTTTTTATTATTACTATTATTATTATAAATTTATGGGATATTATATTGAAAGCATTTTTTGTAGAAAAGAAAGTTTATTAAATATATATTTATAGTATATGTATGGTATAAGCTTTTGTATTTAAAGAATACACACACATATATATATAAATGATTGATTTTCTTATATTTTAGAATTGGCTATTTGAGATTAAGTCAACATTTTGTATGTGATAATTGATAACGAGTTAATGCTGCCATATATTTGTAATATAATTATTATGCTATAATCGATCGTTTAAGAAGTTAATAGGTAAAGATATATCAAATAATAACGGCAAGCGAATGAGATAACATTTGATCATGTGAAATAGTAAGAAGATATACTCCCTTAATGAACCAACCTATTATTTTTGCAAAGATCTTCCTGCCTATTGTAATTGTAACTTGGTAGAAGAGCTCTTTAAGTACTGACTAAATATCAATCAAGAGCTATAATTTTTTTGGTAATTAGTTATAGTACAATATAATATAATATTGTATTATAAAATGGAGGATCATTAAAATCTTTTGGATATCGTTTTCCTTAATTTTTTGGTAAGAGATATATTTTTATCCACTATAAAAAGAGCATCAATACCATAGTGTTTCTCCAAGCAAAAATTAGTACTAAAAAAGATTAAGGACAGTAAACTATAATTCTTTCTAGTAATTATTAATCAAGCATGGGTTATAATGTTATCATTTTCACTTTTTTAGCTCTATGTTTGCTTCAATATTGCACTTGTGCACATGTTAAATCACTCAATGCTTCTATAGCTAGTTTTCAACCAGCAGTAGCAACATTTTATGGCCCTCCAACTGGAGCAGGATCTGGTAATTAATTAATTAATTAATTATGCTACTCTACTAGTAAAATGTTTTGCACTAATTGATCACATTGTTTTCTTTAATTAATTAGTTAATTAAATTGAATAATATTGGTTTGTTTTAATTTAAATTTGTGATTACTTAATTTTGTATATTGACAAATACATGCATTATTTAATTATTGTTTTTTTTTTTGTCATGTTATTAGATGGAGGAGCTTGTGGATTTACAGATGCTGTATCAAAACCCCCTTTTAATTCCTTTGTATCTGCTGGAAATGGTCCTCTTTTTAAGGAAGGCTTTGGCTGTGGATCTTGTTACCAGGTCTATATACATATATACATATATTATACTCTTTTGTTAATGAAAAGCATCCCTCATCGGATCGAAACGAGATTAATAAGACTTGGGATAATTTTAAGGTATATGAGTAAGGCCCAATACCTAAATTAACATGACCAGAAATCTCGTCCTGGTCCGATGTGGAATTCTTCCCATCAACCCATTATTATTTAGTTTATTTTTAATATTAATGAAACTAACCATACAAAACATGTTACAATTTACAAATCACACTCTCAGTATATATTTGTTCGATAAATTACCCTAATACATGGTGAAATTATAGGTTTTATGTAGTCTAGGCCCTTGCTCAGGAAGACCAGTAACTGTAACCATTACAGATGAATGCCCTGGTTGTTCAGGTGCTTTTCATTTTGATTTAAGTGGAACCGCAATGGGTGCTTTAGCCAAACCCGGTCAAGCTAATGCGTTACGTAATATAGGAAATATCCCAATTTCTTACCAAAGGTACGTACGTACGTACTAAAAAACATTTATCAGTTACTATATATATATTTAATGTTCGATAACATGTTATAACATATTACAGGGTGCCATGTGATTACAATAACTGGAAAATCGGGTTCAAGGTGGACCTAGGTTCAAACCCGAATTTCTTATCAGTAAATGTTGAGTTTCAAAATGGAGACGGTGATCTTAGTTTAGTCGAATTCTTACCAGCAAGATCAAATCAAGCGATAAGAGCGAATCATGTATTTGGTGCAACATGGAGTATTAATATTAATCCTTCAGCACAGCCAGCTCCATATTCAACTAGGCTTACAAGTGGGTCAAACAAGAAACTTACTGTTACTAATGTTATTCCTGTGGGATGGCAGCCTGGACGCACTTATTGGTCTAATGTCAATTTTTAGTTCGTATAGTATTTATTGAATGTAAACTCAGAAAATAAAACTACATTCAAGTTAGATTAATAATATTGATGAAGAGAAAAATAAAAATTATGTTCTTGAATGTCACAAAATATGATCTTGAATGTTCTCCTTTTATGAATTTAATAAACTTGTCGTTTAGGATTATTTTTCCCTACTTTTTTTTTTCTTCTTGTTATCACTTAATGTGCGTCCCTCGTAAAATTAGAAAAATAAAAAGGAATACCCGAGATTTTTATACGAAACAATAATCTAACAAGATCCACGATTAAAAAAACATCTTAATTTTTTTTACAACTTTTAGCCAATATAATCACTATATATATATATATATAATATGAATATGTACATTATATATGTTACACCCTGTAAAAATTTTGTTAATATTCTATACGATTTAAAATTTATGAGGCTCTATTAAATTACTACAATTTGTGTGGAATGAATATTTAAATTATCTCTTTAAGCCTGGTTATTCATAGAGCCTGTTTAGATTGACTTATTTTATTTTTTAAGCCAAAATAGTTTTAAAGTAGTTTTGAATTATTTGGATAACTTTTAAAAAATATTTATAAACACTTAGTTTTAAGTTAAAATAATAAAAACAAGTCAAAAATAATAAGTTAGGATTTTCAAAACTTATGGCTTTTAACTCTAATAAAGTCAATAAATTGAGAATGGAATTTGTAATATAAGGAGGAGTTATGATTATGGAGTCGTCACTAAAGTTGAAGTATTGACCACGAATTGAAAGTGAATTAAGAAAAATATATATATGATAGATGACATGGGTCTTAAATAAATCTAGTAGAACATATGTACTTCGATAGAGTGCCCTAGGAAGAATTATGGACAAATTACTTAACTACACTCCTTTACTTACCTTAATATCCACTTATCCCTATTTATTTCAAAAATTCCTTATTTACCTATGTATCCCACATGTATCCCGTGCACAACGCTATGTATCCCGCTATGTGGAATGTATCAAACGCTATGTATTCCGTGCACAACGCTATGTATCCTGCTATGTGGAATGTATCAAACCTAATGTATCCCGTGCACAACGCTATGTATCCCGCAAACATCATTTTTAAGGGATTTTTGGTAAATAGAAAAGTAGAAGGGATAGGATGTTATTTAGTACTTATAATATATGGTTCCTACAATTTATACAATTATTATTGACATTAATTAAGTACTTAGCCAGTTAGCCCATTTCGCTCAATCCGTTATTATTCGTTACGATTTTAATTAGGAGTGCAATAATCTTTTAACATGTCATTTGAATTTTGATGTCTATGCGTTATATGATTTTTTTAGACTTAATTTTCAAGAATTATATGCTCATGTTAAAATTCAAATAAAAAATGTATAAATTATAGGAATAACATATTATAAGTACTAAATAACATCCTATCCCTTCTAGTTTTTTATTTACCAAAAATCCCTTAAAACTGATGTTTGCGGGATACATAGCGTTGTGCACGGGATACATTAGGTTTGATACATTCCACATAGCGGGATACATAGCGTTGTGCACGGGATACATTAGGTTTGATACATTCCACATAGTGGGATACATAGCGTTGTGCACGGGATACATGCAGGATACATAGCATTGTGCACGGGATACACAACATTTGATACATTCCACATAGCGGGATACATAGCGTTGTGCACGGGATACATAGATAAATAAGGGATTTTTGAAAATTTTAAAATAAGTAGGGATAAATGGATATTAAGGTAAGTAAAGGAGTGTAGTTAAGCAATTTGTCCATAAAAAAATATATCTTATAATTGGGGCATATGAGGGAAGAATGCAAAGTTGTGCTTCTAAGGCCCATTACTATTTCTTTCCAATTGGGCCTTGAGTATGTACATCATTGACCCGCTCGATGCATGCCCCTTCACAATATTTACCATGATCCCAAGTAAAATTCTTCATAATATCCGTGGGGATTATTTTATTTAAATATGTGTAAATTTCATATATGACATATATTATAGTACTATTTTCAAGCTATAACGGTAGATTTAGACTTTCAAGCTATAGCATTAAAAATTTCAGGTTATAACAAATTTACAAAAAAAAGAAATGTTTTTATTAATTGGAAAAAATTAAAAAAAAAAAGATAAACGAAAATTAAAAAAAAAA